GAGGGCCCCAGATGTCCTAAAGGAACAGAGAACAGAGGGCTGGCTCCAGGCCTTCCAGTACATTAGAAAACGCCAGTAAGTCAGAAAGTTCAGCGGCAAGGTCACAGACACCTTCGCTGAACAAAAATCTCAAACGTGAGTCCATTCCTAATTCATAGGTCCTGAGGGCAGTGCTGGCACCCCAAACATTTTGTGCTCCTCCCCTACAGCCCTTCAGCAGGGCAGTGTGGGCCGTCTCCTGGGGGGAGGACTGCTTATTCCAACTGTTCTTGGCCAGCACTGGGAACACAAAGGAGTGTGGGGAGAGGGGCACGTTGGAAACGAAGGTGTATAGTTGGGATGGAAAATGAGTCCTCTGAAGCACATCTGCCCAACATTCTCCTAAACCCGCACCACTGCCAGGTCCCCTTTGGCCCCGGGGCCTCTGAGAAAGCCTATCAAACCACCCGAGGTTCCGCAGGCCAGTGCCATAACCTTCCAAGTGGACCCCTGCTCTGCATCCAACTGGCCCAGGAGGGCCTCTGGCAGCCTATGCTGCTGCCCTGACGGGAGCTTTTACGTGCTGGGCCCCTGAGGAGACTAAGGTGGGTGCTGCCGTGAGAACTTCAAGGGTAGAGCTGCACTTGTCCGCACAGGGACTCAGCCAAAGTGTGTTCTGACAACCTGTAAGAGTGAAGACCCAGCGCCCACACCAGCCACAGCCCAGCCTGGCTCCACCCCCACCCCCGGGGCAGTATCCATCCTCAGACAAGTTGTAAAGCTGGCCCAGAGTCAGACCCAGGTGGCCAGCATACCTGGAAGGTGTGCTGTGTGCAGGCCCCTCCAGCCGAGTATGACACACACGGCCTGGGCCCGAGTGTCCCGCTGGTTCAGCTCAGGTGCCACACCCGCAGTTAACCTCGCACAGACAGAGCACGAATCGCACTTTATTCCTAACCTATGGCAATTAACTGGCAGGCCCAGGCTGTTCAGTGTGGGTGGTGCCAGCCTGGGAAGCAGGCCCTGTCTGGGGCTGCCCCTCGCCACACAGGGAGCCGGGCAGCAAGGCCTGTCTGACGCAACTGTGCTCCGTGGTCTCCAGATGTGTGACCCGTGTGACTGCTCATCTGTTCCTCCTGGGCCACCGCGCAGGGCCAGATCTGCTCGAGCTCAGGAGCGATGGTCTTCCACGACGATCACGCGTCTCGGGTAGGTGTCCACCTCCACGAGGATGTAGAGGAACTCATACTGCCCGCTCTCTGGGTTCTGAAAGAAGGGGCCGCAGGCATCGGAGCCCTGCTCAGGGTGGGAGGCAGCACTGTGGGGAGCCCGGAACCCATTCCTTCCAGGTGCCCAGGATCCCCCCTGCCTCGGCCCCCACCTCCTTCACTTCCAGGTGCACGGTGCCCTGCTTGCCTGGCTCCGAGCCCTCGATGTAGAACTTGAGGCGCATGCGATGCAGCCCATCCTGGGTGTACCTGAGGTAGCTGCAGGGAGAACAGGTGAGGCCTCCCTCAGCACCTCCAGGCGGGAGTAAAGGGGCCCAGCCTCCCTGGCCACCCTCAGGCCTACCTGACGTGCTGTCGCCGCCCTCGGTGGGTTGTCTCCCCGTAGCCTTTGATGGGCTCCCCCAATATACCCGTCACCTGGAGGAGGGGGATAGGGCTCCTTTAGGTCGTGGGCAGCGTTACCACTCCCCTCTTTGTTGAGTGGGGCCACCTGTGATAGTGATGTGGTAGCCCCACGTAACAGAGCAGAAGCACTCCACAGGGCTCCCTTGCTGTTTCCTAGACTCCCAGGATGCTGGGCAGTTTGGCTCCCTGGCCACTGTGATGGGAACTGTCTTGACTTCTGGCTGACCAGACTTGTCCTCCTGCGCCTGGGCCCCTCACCATCCCAGCATCCAATGACAAGAAAGCAGTAGCTATTAGAAGATGCCACAAACAGTAGCTTTTGTTGCTTAATGACAGGGTGGAGCATCCCACTGGGGGCTGAGAAGACATGTGACACCCCCCCCCCCCCCATGGATCCTGTCTCCCAGGGACCATTGACTTCGCTCTGGAGGATTTGTGAGGCTGTCCATCTTCATGGGGTGGGGGGTCTGGTGGGGTTGAACTGAGGTCCTTGTTAGCTGAACCTGCAGCACCCACAGGGCGCCTCTGCATCAACAGGGGTGCTTGGTTCACGTTTCACTGACACGCTCCCAATGAGGGTCGAGCTCAGCGAGTGATATCCTCCGCTGGTGAGCTTTAACGTGCCAAATAGACTTTCCATGGTCCCATGAGCCCTGCCATCTGCATAAGAGCCTCTAGAGAATGTGGGGCTTCCCATGTGTCCTTGCAGGGCACAGCATGGGCAAGGGGGTGGTGTAAGAGTATAAGGTTCGGAATTGGCAAAATGTGAATTTAAGTTCTGGCCTGCCTGCTCCCCAGCGAGTTCCCCTACTGTGGATTGGAGGAGGGGGGGACATGCCCCTGCCTAGTGGTAGTGTGGGGACTGAGCAAAAATGGCACCTTGTCAGAGCCCTAAGCCTTGTGCCTGGTGTCCACCCTGCTTCCAGGACACGTCAACAGGGGCCATATGATCCTGAACTGAAAGTGGCCCTGAGTTTGGCACTTTATATTCGATGTGTTTAAAGTCTACCAACAACTGCTAGCAGGGACAAACACACTGGCCTGAGGGTCTGAGAGCAATCTGCCTCAATACTGCAGGTACCGGTGGGGGACTCTCACCAGTGCTGGGAGCGGTCTGGAACGCTGCCCGCCTCCTCCCTGATGGGGTCTTGCAGCACTGGCACCCGAGTAGCTCACTCTTGAGAACTAACCTCGGGATGGGACCGGCATCTCTCTAAGGCTTTCCCATATATCTGGTTAGGGCTGGTTGAAGAAAAAAGCTCGCCGAAAATGACGTAGAGCAAACCACCTGGAAATCACAGGAAACGGAGATGAGGCAGAGTGAGGGGGCACCAGGCACCACGGGGCTGCACTGCCAACCTGTAATGCCGAGTCCAACAAGCACCACCAGGAAGTAGGTCAGGTCTCGTCCGGCTTCCTTCACTGCAGAGATGAAGGCGACAGTGATTGAGTCCCGCATGTGCCGAACAATCGGTCGATTAGAAACGCTCTCATTTATGAGATTGTCCCTAACAAGCCCCGCCCCTCTTGCCCTCCACACTTCGGGAATGCTGATGTGACATCTTCAACCAATCGACCTCACATCTGGGCAAGAGAACTGCAAGACTCAGTGGAACTCTGAGACTGAGTGGAAACACACGCCTGTCCCACATGGTAATGATCCAGTCACGTCTTTGTTTATCCTACCCAGGTGCACTCTGGCACTCGTCCCAGGAGCAGTGGTTAAGTGCATGGCTCACTGAGAGGTCAGTGGTTTGAACCCACCAGCAGCCCCCCAGGAGCAAACGCCTGAGGATCTGCCTTGTAAAGATGCAACACATAGGAACTCACAGCACCCCTATAGGACAGGGTAGGACTTCCGAGACTAACTTGTCTGGGAGTAGAATGCCCCATTTTTCTCCTGGGGAGTGGTTTTGAACTGCGGACCTTGCAGTACTGGTAACGACCATGCCACAAGGCCCCTAAAGATTACAGCCTAGGATATCCTGTGGGCTAGGCAAGCAAGGATGGACAGGAGGATACCCAACCACAAGACGACTGGTTCTTTGCAGCACCGTGTCCCCGCACCCCCCTTTTTGTCTATCTCCTTCCTAATCAAGTGAGAAGTTGTTTGTGGTGGCAATCCTCTGACCCACCATCAGCGTGAGCACCAGCACCTGCCCAGGCACCGCAGAGTAAGTGCCCACTTAACAAGCACATGGGAGTGAGTACCTGCGGCCTGGACATCCAGGTTTATTTTCCAGTTGTGTGGCCTTGGGGAGGTATGCCTCATACACAGTAAGAATCCCCAGGAGAAGGGTTCGAATCTGGGAAGGCCCTTACTAAGCAGAACATGTGACAAACATTTTATGGAACTTCTCTTCCACCAGGATGACCATGAATCCAGAGGAAGTTTCAACGCACTAAGTTAAACCAAACCCGGGGGGCAGCGTTCAGGTCTGCGTTGGAACCTATAGCCACGGCCTGGGTGCAGCTTTAACTTGAGTGCACCAGCTCCGCCCTCCTTCCAGCCCGGGGGCGTTTCCTTTCACCTTTCTGTGTCGTGGAGACGGCGGGCTCCCCTCCAGGGCTTCTGTGCACAGACACCTGCTTGCGGCCGACCTCTTTCGCCCTGCGGGGGTTCCATCCCTGGGTCCAGATCGTTCTCGGGGTGACCGCAAGGACGCGGGGCGTCCGGGCGGGTATCGGGGACTCCGGCGGCGACCATCTCCCGCTGGGCCGGGTGTGGAGGGAGGCGGTGCTAGGCGCAGCGCGGGGCAGCAAGATCCGCACCCCCGCCGCCCGGTGCAGCCTCTCCGCGTGCTGCACGGCTCGTAGAAGCGCGCAAATCATGGCCTCGGGGATGCGGCGGACCACAACCCGCAGAGGCTCGCCGCCCACTGCACACCCCGCGGACACATCCACCCCGACCTCAGTCGGTGTGCCCGCAAACAAGCCCGCTACCCCCGGGAGAGGCACCGAAGGCCCCCTCGCTTCTCCTTTGCCCCCTTTGTAGTTGAACCGAAACTATCCCGCTTCCTTATAAGCAGACTCACCCGCCCTCCCCGCCTTGCATTCGCAAAGCAGGCTGGGACCCGCTTGGAATTCTGGGAACAGTAGTTCTAGTCCACGACCTCCCCGCGCAGTAACCGCCACGGGGGACAAAAGGGACTACATCGCCCAAAATGCACTGGGGGCCGCGCGGTGGCACCGCCCTTCAGACACTCCTATTGGCCTTCGAGCGGGCGTTCGCGCTTACGCATAGGACGCTGCCGGAAGGCGGTGCCGCGCTAATGAGAAGTCTCGCACTTGTCTTCGCGCGGGGTTAAAGCTTCACACAAATCAAGCAGCCATTCCAGACAGCATAGCCGAGGGACTGTCGCAGGGGCTTGTTACTACGTCCATGTCTTGCCGCGCGCAAGAACCGTCCGTGGGGACGCTCGCGGGGTCGCGCCCGCCCGGCCCTGATGGCGACGAGTTCGAGAAAGGCCCGCCCCCACACGCGGGGGGCGCCGCTGCGGACGCAAGCGGGGCGGGGTCAGCGTCAGCCCCGCCTTCGAGTCCGCACGAGCCAAACGGCAAGGCGATCACCATGGCGACCGGGCGCGGATGGGCTAAGTGGGAGCTCCAGCTTAGCTCGGGCCAGCAGCCTTCCGCGGACCCCGTCGGGCTCAGGTGACAGTCAGGGCGCGGTGGGTGAGCGCCCGGGGGGCTCGAGGGCACCCTCCCGCCGCGCCCGCGGCCCGCGTTCCTCTGGGGGGCTTCGTTCGTTCCGTAACTCCCCGCGCGCACAGCTGCAGGTGGCCGTAAGATGGGGGTGGGGCTCCTGAGCATCCACGCGCCCCCGGCGTCACCTGCCTAGGAGGGCCAACGGTTGCTGTGCACACTGGTGTCTCGGTGGGCTCCGGGACCACCGCGGGGCGGTACTCTCTGCCCCAGGGAACATTCTGACGAGTGATATTGTAGTTTCCGTTCTCTTTGTCCAGGACTCGGGGACTGGACTCAGTCCAAGTCTGCATTTCTGCGCTCAAACTGGGGGTCCCCACCCAAGTCTCTGCCTGTTCCACTCCAAGGGCTGGGTCGGTACACGCTCGCCCCTGCTCGCTGCGCTCGGGAGGGAGGGATTTCCCCACCTGCACAGCGAAAGGCACCTTTGAAGAGGGGCGTGGGGGTGGGGCTCCGAGGGCTTGCGCAGCTTTTTGGGAGGGTTCTCGGCCCCACTTTGGAGCGTGACAGGCCCTTTAGCAAAGAAGTCAACCGACCTAGGGGACCAGCAGTGGAACATACCGCCTTATGTGTTCCTCTAGTCTAAGCTCTTTGCAGCCATGGTCGGTCTCTGCTTACAAGGCGAGGATAGACCCCAGAGCCAGCAGCATGTTTTTTTTGTTGTTGTTGTTTTGTTTTTGAGGCCAGGTAGTTTTTAATTTCATCTGATTGATTTGATTCCATTTTTTCCCTAATTTCATTATGTACCCCGGAGTTCCGAGCCCTGGTGGCACTGTAGGGCCATTTCTGAAGGTTGGTGGTTCAAATCACCAGCTGCTCATGGCAGAGAGAAGAGGCTGCCTTTCCCTGTACAGATTTACAGCCTCGGAAACCTTGCCTTGAGTCAGAGTTGACCGGAAGGCAGTGGGTTTGGTTTTGAGTTGACTTCTGAAAAAGTAGTATTTTTTTCTTTGAAAAATGAAGATTATATGCATAATGTCTCAAATCTCATTGATTTAAGGTTTTTTTTTTCCCTGTACAAAGTTTACCTTTCTCCTGCTTCAAAGATGACTCACCCTTACAGCCAGGGGTGGTAATGAAAAGTGACCAATACACTCCCTTGGTGTTTACACCCGCTCTGTGTGCACAGTGCCATCATGAAGAGGTTTCACACAACCACAACCCAGAGGTTGGAGGTTCCCATCTGCCTGACAGCAGTACCACGAAGAAAGGCCTGGTGGTCCGCCTCCTCAAAGACACCATCAGAACCACAGGAGAAGGTAGTGATAGAAACAGGTTTGACAGGAGAGTCAGGGCACGGGGGTTCCTAGGTTATAACCTGGGCCAGCCACTCAGTTCAGTTAGACCTGGAGTCTATCGGTGAGGGAGTCCGAACCCTTTCTAAATTGTGGAAATGCAAAGCACAGAATGGAACGTCATTTTTGTTTGTTTGTTTTCTTTTTAAAGAATACTTCCACTAGTCAAGGGACAAGAAAGCTGGACACGAGACTGCTCCCCACAAAACAGAGTAATAGGCTAGGCTCCTGCTGCACAGGTGCTCAGAGTTCTCATTTACTCAGCCCTTGGAACACTGGTCTGAACTTGTAACTAGTCCTGAGCTACAAGAGGACTCCCTCAGGGCCAGTCTCAATGTTTCTCTCTCTCTCCTTCCTGCCCTCCTCCTCTCACACCCTTCCCAGCCAGTGCTTTGATGAAAACATGTTTGTAGCCATAAGTACCCTTCACATTGCAGCTAAAGGGGACTTGGATAAGTTTGAAACACTCAGTGTATTACCCCGCACAGACTATGCGGTTCAGAATGCCAGTAGAATTGAACCAACTAAACACTAAGTCTTTTTTAAACACAGGCATAATCCGTTGCTTATGGAGTAGGGACTTGCATTGGAGCGAAGCCTTGGTCTTTGGGACTTAAAAAAAAAAAAAAAGACTACTCCCACACACGACCTTCCTGCTCTACAGCTTTTTGAAAGCCTGTGTGAGTGGGCAGCCCCAGGGTGAGAGTGAGGAGCCTGTCTGCGTGGACACCAGCCAGTGACCGAGGCGGGGCTGAGCTCTCTGTTGGTGTCTTTGGGGAGGCGGACCACCAGGCCTTTCTTCATGGTACTGCTGTCGGGCGGATGTGAACCTCCAACCTCTGGGTTGTGGCTGTGTGAAGCCTCTTCATGGTGGGACCGTGCACACAGAGCGGGTGTAACACCAAGGGAGTGTATTGGCCACTTCTCATTACCACCCCTGGCTGTAAGGGTGGGCCATTCTTGAAGCAGGAGAGAGAGGGCAGGGGAGAGAGAGAACACTTTGGAAAAGTATGTCCAAGATCCGCTCTGTCAGGGTTTATTTCTGGACCCCATCCCTCCAGTCGACATGTGTCTTTGTTCTGTGAGAACCCGTCTCAGCCCTACTGCCTGCCTCGGTGAGTTGTCACCTCTGACGTCAGGAAGTCCCTGGCTTCCAATAAGGGGACTTCAGAAAGTTCATGAGAAGATTCCATGTTCTTTTCATTCCATTTTGTCCACGGACAGTCTGAAGCCTGCTCGTATATTGAAATAGATTCTCATGAAAACCCACTACAACTCACCTCGACCCTATCTTGGCTTTCTGAGGCTGTCTTATCTTTCCTGGGAATAGACAGTTTTGTCTTTCTCTTGGGGAATGGCCTGTAGTTTTGAACCACCAGACTTGGCGGTGAGCAGCCCAGCGCCCAAGCGGCCATTCCCTGAGCATTCGCTGGGGCAGCATAGTGTCAAAGCCTGGACAGCCTGCCTGGCTCCTGAGGCTGGCTCTGTGGGGTGGGTCATGGGCTGGCATCCCCTCAGAGGCCTGCGCCTCGCCCACAGCGCGGCTTCCCTGCGCTGCGTGTACACGCAGGCTGCTGTCTGGGCCACCTTCCTGGCGCTTTACTGAACGGGCCTCATGAAGGGCTCTGCGTCCTGGCACCTCTGACGGACCACCAGTAATGGTGCACCGTATGGAGCAGGGGAGCAGGGGCGGCTGCAGGCACAGCACATCTAGGGTGCTTCTGGGGCTCCCCCCTCCTTCCTTCCCTTCCTCCTCCCTGCCCTTCCTCCCTCCCTGCCCACCGCCCTCCCCTCCTCTCTCTCCCTTCCTCTCCTCCCTGGCTCCCTCCACCCCTCCCCCTTCCTCCTCTTTTCTCCCCTCTTCATTCCATTCTGTCCTCCCTTCCTCCTTCCCCCCTTTTCCTCTCAGCAGAGATGAGGTTTCCCAAGCTTCAAAGCTTAGGATCTTTGGGAGGGGAGTGTCTGGCTTTCTCACTGGGCAGCCCTATAACTGTAACTCTGTGCTTATTTTCCAAAGGGAGCCAGGTGTCCAGCCCAGTGCCAACCAGCTGCAGTGTGCCAGGTATCTGGAGGACTGTCCAGGAGTCGCCCCAGGCTGTCCTGTGTCCCTCGATGGGTGAGTCTGCCACCCGCCACGTCGGGGCTCTAGCAGTGGGTCCTCAGGGGAGGTCACGGTGCTGTATGTGCCGGTTGCTGCTCTGGGAGCACTCGGAATAGAAGGGCGTAGGAAGAGCGGCGACAGCAGAGTTTGACACGAGTCATCGCCTGTCACCACTGTCAGCGTCAGAACTAAACATCTCAAAGTGACACTAAATTTACATTCCCTTTGTTAACGAGTCCGCTAAGCCCATTCCCTCCTTTCATTAGTGTTCCCCAAAGCCTCTGAAAGGTGGGGAGAGCAGGGGGTGCTCCCCAGAGCTCCCGTGCTTGGTGCCTTGGAGCTCTCAGGGTTTGGAGTTCTACGCTGAGACCCTCACACCAAGCCCCTGGAACCCTTCCTGTTTATCAGCGTGTGGGTTTGCATGATACTCATGTTTATGGTGGGGGCCCTGGTGAAGCGTTGGACAGCTAACTGCCAGGTTGGCAGTTCAAACCCACTAGCTGCTCCCCAGGAGGAAGACGAGGTGGCCGAGTGCCACTGTGGAGGTTTGCAGCCTCAGAAGCCCTGTGTGGGGTGGCTGTGAGTTGGAGTCGTCTCAGTGGCACAGGGTGTGGGTTTTGGTGACGTTAACGGAGGAGGCCTGATAGCTAGCTCCCTGGTGCGGTCAGCGGAAGACTGGCCTTTGGTTCCGTGATGATGACAGCCTGGGGACACTGCGAGTCACTCTGCCCTGCCCTGCAGGACCTGATGCAGGGCCCAGATGTGGGCAGTCGTCTGGGGAACGGTTAGGATGTGCTCGGGAGGTGCAGCAGTTAAGGCACTCCACTGTGAACTAAAGGGTAGATGGTTCGAACCCACCAACTGCTATGCAAGAGAAAGACCCATCCATCAGTTCCTGTGACGGTGGACAGCTTGTGAGACCCTTCAGGGTGTCCTTGCTCTGTCCTCCAGGGTCGCTGTGGTCAGGACGCTCTTGGGCAGGGCCTTTGGCCCTGGGGACAGACCTGTGAGGGAGCTCCCCTTGGAGGGCCTTCTGGTCGTCCTCAGTGCTTCCAGAGGCCAGTGCTGACTGGTTCCCTGGGACAGGGGGTGCCAGGCTCCGGCTCGCAGCTCCCCATCATCATCAGTCAAGAACTTGGGGAGCCATTTAGATCGGCCAGGGTTGTGCTTGATCCTAGACTGCCAGGTAGGCTCCTGACGGGACAGCCCTGCCCTCCTGGCCCCGGTCCCCTGCTCTTGTTCAGCTGCTTCTGGGTGTGCTGCCCAGAGTCTCAGGACCCTGGGGGAAGATGGACACTCCGAGCACACAGTGCCAGTGCTGCACTTAGGTGGGCCCCACAGTGAACATCAAAACTGGCCTGCCAGGACACCCCGGGGGCTTGCCGTCTCCTCTAAGCCCCTGGAGGAGCTAGCTAATGTGGGAGGACTGAGGAGGGTGGGAGGCAGGTGGGCAGCAGCTCCACGTTTCCCGGTGTCTTCTGGGTATTTGGGGGGGGGTGCGGGGGCGGTTCTGAGTGTCTCTTGCCCACAGCTAAGGATGTACTTCATGTTCTTCTTGAGTGCCCCATGTCTCACCTGACAGTAGCACAGACCTGGAGAGGGAGCTCTCTCCTCCTGTGAGTGTGACCCACCCTGAGTCCCCTGGACCCCTTTCCTAGGGCCCACCAGGGAGTGGAGCAACCGGGACATATCAGTCAAGAAAGGGACCAAGCACCTGGACAGTTTGCCAATTGTCCAAGTACGGCCTGCCTGCCTCCTGTGGTGGTGGCTGTGGTTAGGTGCCTTTGAGTCGGTGCTGACCTGTAGGGACCCTGTGCTCAGAAGATAGAAACCTCGCCCCTTCCTGCACCATCCTCATAACCGCTCCTTGTTGTAGCCATGGCGCTCGTCCATCGCGTCAAGGGCCTTCCTCTGGTTCTCTGCCCCTCTACCAAGGACGGCGACCTTCGCCAGGGACTGGTCTTTCCCGATAACATGTCCAAAGTATGTGAGATGAAGTCTCTCTATCCTTGCTTCTAAGGAACATTCTGGCTGTACTTCTTCCAAGACAGAGTTGCATATTCTTTTGGCAGTCCATGATTCTTATCGTATTCTCCTCCTAGTGACCGCCCCCCTACCCCACAAAAAACAAAACAAAACAAAAAGCCAAAAAGCCCTCACACCCACTGTCATTGAGTTGATTCTGACAGACAGTGACTCTTTAGGACAGGGTAGAACGACCCTCTGGGTTTCTGACCCTGTACCTTCCTATGTGTTGAACGGATGACCGTGCAGTTGGCAGTGCACATGCAACCACTCTGCCCCCAGGGCTCCTCTCCTGACTGGTGGTTTGGCAGTGCAGTGTGTCGGGCGGACAGTCACCCACTTCTCTGACTCTTCCCTCCTCCCACAGCATGCCCTCAGAGATCTTGCTGAAGATCCTGTCGTACCTGGATGCTGGGAACCTGCTGTGCATCGGCTGTGTGAACAGGCACTTCTACCACCTGGCCAGTGACAAGTAAGGGGGCCAGCCGACCTCTGTTGGCTCTTGATGGCTCTAATGTCAGTCATGAAGACCAGCCAGAGTTTTTAAACCACCCCCTATTCCGCCGAGTCTCCTGACTTACGGCGACCTGATTCAGGGTTTCTGAAGCTGTCAGCCTTAACTTTCTCCCAAGGAGCGGCTGGTGGGTTTGAACTGACAAACTTGGGGTTGGCAGCCCAGTGCTTACCTGGCATGTCCCCAGGGTTTTCACCAGTGTTGAAAATGTCAAAGAATGAATTCGAAGTGTGTTTTCAGACAGGCATCTTGTTTCTGCTAGGTGCCATCGGGTCAGTTCTGACCCACAGTGGCCCCACGCGTGACAGAAGGAAGCACGGCCTGGCCCCAGCCACCCCAGCTGTTCCCAGGCGGGAACCCCGGGCTGCAGCCGCTGTGTCAGTGCTTCTTGTTGAGGGCCTTCCTGTTTGTCGTTGCCCCTCTGCTTTGGCAGGCGTGCTGTCAGACCTTGGAGGCACACAGAGGTGCCTCCTGCTCTCTGGGGCGGCTCTGCTGTGCACA